ACAGAGCGAGCGAGAGACAGAGCGAGCGAGAGACAGAGCGAGCGAGAGACAGAGACAGAGGGAGAGTCAGACGGAGAGAGAGAGACAGACAAAGAGAGACAGAGAGAGAGAGAGAGAGAGAGAGAGAGAGTCTCAAGCAGGGATAGTAAAATGCAGCCTTCACTCACCAAGTACCGTTGCCCCTCCCCACAACAAATCAAAACATGCAGCAGAGTCAAGGAAGTGGTACCTTGGTGAAATGGTGGACTCTGTAGAGTCCCCAGGCCTCCCTCCCAGTGTCTGTCTCTGCTCTGTAGCACGTACTGCAACACACCATCCTGTAACACAACAAAATCAATATTCACTTCCATCACACTGCCTTCATTCTCCTCACTAACATTCAACACCAATGTATTTGTAGAGGGCCAGGGCTAATAAAAAGGACATACTATCCGAAATTTACAGAGGGGAGACAGGGTGGGGGAAACAGAGGAGGAGGGGGTAGATGAGGGGGGGGAGGGGCAGCAGGGTGGGGAGGGGAGTGCGGGGGGAGGACGAAAGAGAGAGAGAGAAGCAGAGAGAGAGTCGGGGGAGGTTTAGTGAAGGAGTTCTGGAGCTTGTTCCCATGTTGACAGAGAGATGTGAATGCATAGGAAAGACTGTACAAGGTTTTACAAGAATGGTCCAGGGATGAGAAACTTCAGTGATGAGGATAAGAGAAGTCAGGACTGTTCTCCTTGGAAAGAAGGTGGCTAAAGAGGGGTTTTTCAAAACAATGAGCAAGCTGGATATATTGGATAGGGAGAAGCTGTTCCTGCCTGTAAAAAGGACCAAAAACAAGAGGGCCATAGACTCCTGAAGCAATTTGCAAAAGGAGAAAATGTGATGCAAGCAAGACCGTTTTCACTCAGCGAATAATTCGGATCTGGAACATATTGTGTGGTGGAGGCAGGTTCGTCTGAAGTGTGCAACAGGTCAGCGGCCAACTATTTGGATAGAAATGACATGCGAGGGAATGGGGAGAAAGCAGGAGATGGGCACAAGGTCAATATGCTCATTTGAAGAGCTACTCCAGGCTGAGTGGACTCCTCCTGCGATTCTGAGCTCAGGGTCCTGTGTTGATCAGCGAGGGTGATGGGCAAGTTTGGAGATAGTCAGCCTGATGAATGGGGGGGGGGGGGGGGGGGGTTAATCCCCAGGATTGTCCTCTCAGGCACGTCCTCGCAATAACCACGCACTGAGGAAAATAGAAACGTGAAGACAGTGGTGCCTCATTTGGGTTTAAGCTGCACTGCCCATGGGCATGGGTCAGAAAGGTTGTAGGTTTATTTTTGAGGTTAGGAGGCACAGCCTGTGGGAGGTGTCGGGTAGGAAATGTTCCGAGTGTTACAACAGGACTGGGCGGCCACAGGGCTAGGAGTCACCAAGGCTGCTGGCTGATGCCTTCCACAGTCGAATAGGTGGTCGACACTTCAACTCTCTCAGCTTGTAGCCCAACATCGGGTCAGAAGCCGTGGGTTAAAAAAATCACACTCTTGTTTTTGCTGCAGTACTGAGGGAATGCTGCATTGGTGGTGCGCCTGTCTTTCGGGATTAGATGTTAAAACTTGGCTCTGTCAACGAACTCCACAATTTGAGGAGGGGCAGGGGGTTCTTCCAGGATCCGAGTTAAATTTCATCCATAAACTATCACCAGAAAGGCCATTAGCTGGTCACTCGGGGAGGTGATGGCCTAGTGGTATTATCGCTGGACTGTTATTCCAGAGACCCAGATCATGTTCTAGGGACGGCAGATTGAGACATCAAGAGAAAGGATGAGGATGTCAAAAAACAGCCTTCCACGCTCACGCCGCACTCCTCAATAATTCATGTTACCTCACAGGCAGATCCTGCAGGTTCACAGCATGGTCCATGAAATAACCTGGAAAACAAGAACGTCTTTCAACAGTGAGACAGCTTCCTGGAACAGGTTACAAATTATTCACAGCATGGAAACACATCTACATGAGCCTCTGTATAGCCATCAACATATCCTTTTCTCCCTCCTGCTTCCCTATTAATGTGACCTTGTTTTTTTTTGCCTTAACTATTTTTCACAGGAGCACCTTTCACATTCTCAGTGCCCGTCAGGGAAAGGAATTCTCTGCTGGGTTTAATAGTCTATATCTCACATCTGTTGGTTGGGGCGGGGGAGGGGGCATCTTGCGACTCAGTGGGTAGTGTCCCAGATTCTGTGCTGGAAGCTCTGTGTCCGAATCCCGCTCTGGGATGTGACGTGTGTTCATGACATGATCCAATGTTAATCTACAATCCTTCCTACACATGCCAAGGGCAGGTGGAAAGAACGAGAGAGAGAGACTCTTGGTCAGGCACACATTGGGAAAAAAAATTTTGGAGCCTTTACCATCACTATAAAACGTAGAACTGTACAGCACAGGAACGGGACCTCCGGCCCACAATGTTGTACCAAACATGACGCCGAACAAAACTAATTCCTTCCGTCTGCCATTGGTCTAAAATCCTCCATCCTTTGCATATTCATGTGCTTACCTAAAAGTCCCTTAAACGCTCCTAACGTATCTGCCGCCACCACCACCACCCCTGGCAGCGCATTCCAGACTCCTGCCACTCTCTATGTAAAAAAAAAAAAACTTGCCCCTCACATCTCCTTTGAACTCTTCTCCTCTCACCTTAAATGCACGCCCCCTAGTACTAGACATTGAGTCTGGGAAACTCCAGGCTACAAAATGCACTTAAAATTGTCTGTTACTACAAGCAACACAGACTCCTCGAGAGACCAGTTAGCTAGATGGCCAATTTGGATCAGACTGGTGCCAATAAGATTCAATCCCCATTCCAAATGGTGCGATTCGGGACCTACTGCCTGGTGCACCAACCTTTGGGCAAAGACCTTAAGAATAATTCATTCAAATAAAGGTGCTACATAACTGCAAATAAAGCGGTTGCTGACGGGCATTAAGTAAAACCAGAATATTTCAACAAATTAAACTGAAATTAAGTCATAGAATCCCAACAGTGCAGGAGCTTGCCATTCGGCCCATCAAGTCCACACCGACCCTCCGAAGAGCATCTCACCAGAACCACCACATCCCTGTAACCCCTATATTCCCATGACCAATGCACCCAACCTGCAGATCTTTGGATGGTGGGAGGAAACCGGAGCACCCGGAGGAAACCGGAGCAGACATGGGGAGAACGTCTGTGTGGTGGGTGCACAGTCGCCCGAGGCTGGAATCGAACCCAGGTCCCTGGCGCTGTGAGGCAGCAGTGCTAACCACTGAGCCACCGTGCCGCCAAAAGGTGGGAAAGTCTATGCTCTCAAGTTTGAGTGTATTCGTGTAAGGCAACTTCACAGTTCACAGAGAAGAGCTCAGTTAAGTTGCACTTAAAGATTTGAGATAGAAGGGCAATTTCTCTGCTTGTGAGTCCAACAGATACTGTTGGGAAACAGGATGAGGTTTTGTTTTGCTGGGTGTTTTAAGATCTTTCAAGAGGTGTTCTATGTTTGAGATATCTTGGTATTATATTGTTTCTTTATGTGATAAACGTCTGTTATCAAAGAAATGGCCTTCTGCGACTATGCTTCAGTCAATGACTACCACACTAACCCAAATAATTAAAAAAGAACCACATGATCTATCAAGCCAGATTTTATTCTGGGATTCGGTTTTCCCGGTAATGCTATCAGCTGGAATCATAACACCTCACAGATGGTGAATGGCTTGCTGGGGTCTTGAAGCTGCAATATCTCTCTCTCTGCTCCCTTCTCTCATACACACAGTTTTCTCTTGTTGATTTTCTTCCTGGCCTGGAGAATTGCCTGCGAGACAATCTATTTTACTAAATTTGCTTTTGGCAAAGGTATGTTTACAGGATGTTGCTATAATGGAACAGTCATTGTTTGGTCGTTAAATTATCTAATAATTCTGTTACGTTTTCCAATAGAGTTAAGTTATTCCGATTCCTTCTTTCTTCTGTTATACTTTATAACGCTCGTGAATGAATGAAGTGCACTTTACTTTAAATCTGGTACTTTGACATTGCATCTGGAAGCAACACCTTACACTTGCTTTTATAATAAGAACAAGTTAGGGTCCAGACTAACATCTGAATATATTTTGAAGGGTTTTGGTCCAGAACACAATAAAAACAATCTGGTCTCAATCTTGACCGATAAGCCCCTACGCTGTAACTTTAAGGTTTTGTCCCTTTTGTTGGCAGCCAGCCCCTCCCCAGATGAGATCGCTCATTCCTCTCCATCTCGTAAACGTCTTTATCCAGCTTAAAGATGTCAACAAGATTGCGGGGTTACAACAAGCCTTGTTTGTCGCTTTAACCCGAGCTCATACCCGACCTCCCCCCCCCCCCCCCACCCCCCCCCCCCCCCCCCCCCCCCCC